GTATGGGTAAATGGCCCCCTTAAAACCATGCAACTTTTGTTTAAAACATTTCCCCCGAAACCACCGTGGTTTCGAGATATTCGAGTGTGAATGTTAAAATGGGACACCCTGTATATGTTCTTGCGTATAATATATGTTGCGTATAAACTAATCACTATAATATTTTGTTACATGTTTCTTAAGTTCTTTATTGTATTTTATATTGAAATGTATGTTTTGAAAATTAATAATAAATTTAAATATATTTAAAAAACGTTGCCTCAGTTTTTCAGTTTTATAAACTCCCATAATTATACTCATAATTATCCTATATTATCCCATAATTACTCCATATTTTTTAATAATATTTACTTGATTATGTAACAGTATTTACATATTTCTCATCATTTACTTTCTTTCCGAGATAAATTGTGGCAGCTAATTTCACTTTAGAAAACTTTTATGTTATATCACTCCAAATCAATCTTTTAGTTACGTATAAAATTTTAGTTATGTGTAATACTGTATTATCTCCTTTTTGTTTTCCAATTATATTTCAGGTTTTTCAAACTTTTAGTCTACTGTATATTTCAGATTGTAGTGGTGAATAATATATGTCTCTACATATTTTTGCAATATAAAATGAAATTTTTAAATTCTCTTCTAATATCCGACATGTAGACTTTTGTAGTTCGTGCTATGCATAATATTTCTATATTCGAAATGTTAGCTATTATTTTGTCAACAGTGTAAATTGTTCCCAATTTTTTAATTTAAGCCCTTAAGTTTCTTACAGTACTATAAAAGGTAAGTTATGTTTTTCTAATTTATACGCCGAGCTTTGATTGTGGTACAAATAAAAAATTATGCATGTTTTTGTAACATTGTCTTATGGGATGTAGACGTATTTTTATGATGCATTTAAGTTTTAAACGAAACTGATTATTATAGATATATAGAACGGCATTTTTCAGGTCCTATTTTTATATCACTAAGATACATTCTAAACTACTGTATACACAGTCATTGCATGTAGATACATACATATATGCAATACTTATGTCTAAATGTATCTACACAAATATGTTCCTTATCTATATGCATATTATTGAATTAAGGCCTTTCTATAAATTATAGATAAAGCTATTCGATATAAAGGTATAATTCAGGACCTTCTACATGTATATAAAATATTCTGATAGGCACAATTCAGGACGGTCCTGGAAACTGCCACTTCATGAGCAGAATTTTCAGGACCGACCTGAAAACTGCCAAAAGTCCTGAAAACTGCCGGTGCATAGTAAAAAATGTTGCTGTACTACGAACCATATTGAAGCTTGAGAATCAGATTGGCATAAGGACACATTTCGGCTTCAATTCTGTCGATAGGTGCATGACAACGTCTCAGGAAATTCTGGATTCCAAAAACCTTTAAAAAGATTACATTTTATTACATAACATAAAAAAAAGCGATGAAATGATATAGTGTACCTTCTGGTGTGTTTGGTCGCTCATATTTGTGTCGATGTCGCGGGCATTGATTCCTCCTTTTTCTGTAGTTCTTCTTTCGACAGCGACAAATTCTCATAATACTAAAAATCAAGTAACATCACGGATTACGTTTTATGAGAAAAAAAATACCTGCTTTTTGTACATATTTTATATAATTATACTGTTAGTATTACCTCTTTGCATTCCCAGCAATCCCAGCCGTTTAACTTCGCCCTGTCGGCTTTACATCTCATGTTAAGCTGCTCTGTAAAATCTGCTTTCCTTTTTGGCAATCTGTAAATAATACTTTCATTAGATATATAAAAAAGTAAAGTAAAGTGTGCAAATTAG